TTTTTTTTTTTTTTTTGAGACAGAGCCTCAAGTTGTCACCCTGGGTAGAGTGCTGTGGCGTCACATCTCACAGCAACCTCCAACTCCTGGGCTTAAGCGATTCTCTTGCCTTATCCTCCCAAGTAGCTGAACTACAGGTGCCTGCCACAATGCCCAGCTATTTTTTTGTTGTTGTTGCAGTTTGGTGGGGGTCATGTTTGAACCCACCACCCTCGGTATATAGGGCTGGCCCCCTACCTACTGAGCCACAGGCTCCGCCCTGTAGTTGTCATTGTTTGGTGGGCCTGGGCTGGATTTGAAGCCGCCAGCTCTGGTATATGTGGCTGGCACCCTAGCCATTTGAGCTACGGGCACTGAGCCTAAAGATAAATCTAAAATAGACTTACCTTCTATGCTGTGAGCTTTTTTTCCCCTAGTCTTTTCTAATTTAACTATGTTGGTTCAGGTAAAACTCAACAATATTTGTATCATACTATTATCATAATACCTCTCTCCTTACCTGGCTCAATTGTGATGACCATCCCAGGCTGTAGAGGGAGGGAACGGGGCATGTCTGGAGTGTCATGCACATCCATCCCAAGGTAATGGCCAACATGATGAGGGCAGTATTTTCGAGCAGCCTGGAAAAGGTAATTAGTACAGTATTATTAGAGCACAGTATTATCAGACCCCTTAAGGGGAAAGGTGAACATGTATAAATCAGGGAGATATGTATTAGTACTTCCCCCACAGTATTGCCCATTAGTTTTAACCTACTCCTTGGGCTGATGGTTAAGAAATCTGACAAATTGTCACCTCTTGTGTGTAATTCTGCAAATGGCATTCTAACTCATCTGTCACTATTTAATATACTACATACATGCTGATTTGGGTAATATAGTAATGACTGTCTGAAATGAAAAATCTTGGCTGGGCATGGTGGCTCACATCTATAATCCTAGCACTTTGAGAGGTGGGAAGATTGTTTGAGACCAGACACTGGAGGTTGCAGGGAGCTATGATTGTGCCACTGCACTCTAGCTTGGGTGGCACGGCAAGACCCTGTCTCAAAGGAAAAAAAAAATCTCTTTTCTTGGGGAGGTTATTGGAATAGTTCTTTTTTTTTTTTTGACGGAGCCTCAAGCTATCCCCCTGGGTAGAGTGCCATGGCATCACAGGTCACAGCAACCTCCAACTTCTGGGCTCAAGCAAGTCTCCTGCCTCAGCCTCCCAAGCAGCTGGGACCACAGGCACCCGCCACAAGGCCCGGCCACTTTTTTTTTGGTTGCAGCCATCATTGTTGTTTGGCGGGCCTGGGCT